AATCCACACACATTTCAGGCAACAGGTTTGAGAACATACAACTTACAGGCATGAGAATCCACTGTTGCTGTCAAATTCTCTACAAACTTTTGCTTCAATGTCTTGTGCTGTTTTTTTTCATATCACAACAAAAACACATTCATCACAAGACAAATACATTTTTATGGTCTTTGGTTAATTAATGTAAGTATGTATGTATACCTCCCATAGATCTCTGGCTTCAACGATACTATTTGCAGGGATCTCAATATCATCCCAATTAGCGGTAATCGAAGTTCGCGATGGTCCACGGTTCAACAGAAGCAACGCTACTCTGTAACCTGACAATGCTCCTGCCCAAATCTGATTCCATTTTCCCATTCATTACCAAAACATAGTTTTTTGTAAGATGGAAAGCTTATATATATGTCTGTAGACGGAATAATAAAGGTCGATTTTTAGATCTAATCTGACCTCGATATCGCCTTCCATTCTAACCTTCTTGGCCTGAACACCGTGTGGATCTACAAGAACCACATTGTTTACATTTCTATATCCAAACATAGTTGTAAGGAGTGATATATATGATGGCTAAACAGTAATTAAGTACCTTGGTTTATAGCAATGACTTCCTTGTTTGCGACGATCTCCATTGTTTCTTTGGTCATGTTTCTTATGTCACAACCAAGTAGAAGAGGAGCCTGTCATGTATATATACAGCATTGCATTCAGACTTGATAGATTTTAAATTGAAGAGAGTTTCTATATTCCGGGTATCTACTTACCTTTGAGATTGCCCATATGCTGAAATGGACTATGTACTCGTCTTTCGTCATTCCTCCATTCCCCACTTCAAGCATATCCGGGTCTACAACCACAAGAAAGTCACAACACTTGACATAAATTTCCTCAAAATGTTTCCAAAGTACGCGGTTTTTTCTCCTGCTTTAGTTTAGTGAGAGTACCATTCCAGCCACCAGGCCTTGCATGCTCAGCATAGACTTCATTCATGTCTGCTATTGAGATCATACTGTAAAAAGCCAAAACATTGTTAAGATCAGGAGTTTTCGCTTTCACAAATTTTTCGAGAAACATTCGTTACTCATCTTTTTACTACCTAACCCAATTATCTTTGATGTCATTAGTGGTTCTCCAACTGTTGCCTACTGGAGATCCCCAGAGAGCTGGATGCATATCTCCCCTGATATGCAAAATCAATTCAAAAGTCTTGATTCTTTTCTTCCACATGAGCATCGACACGATGTTTTCTTTGAAAAGGAGCATGATTTATACCATTCACACAAGGAGTGAAAGATGGGACGGCCAGATTTCATAAGAGCTCGGGTCATCACTGGATACCTGAATTGTATCATCATCCATTATTGGCTCATCACTGGTTACGTTCTAACTTTCTGTGGTAAAACTTGAAACTCAACTAGTATCATCAGTTATATACCTGACAGTCGGTTTCGAGCCATCGTTGTTGCAGTTATCATACTTCAAGTAATCAATTCCCTGAAATTTGAGCCAAGCATTGTTACTGCTTACTGTCTTATCAGGTGAGGGACCAGTTTATGAGATGAAAAAGAATGTCATCAACGTACCCATTCTGCAAATGTCTTAGCATCATGCTCCTCGTGGCCTAGAGAACCCGGCATGGTTTTGCTGCAGGTTAAGTACCTGTAAACCAAACAATTGTAAGGCAAGTGCGTATTCTTGTCCAATTCACCAGGAAAAATGTAAGGAAAACGGTAGAATTCATTCATCTAACCACTGAAACTATGATCTAGAAACAAAAGCAATAATACTTTACCCGGCATCCGAGTAAATCCCGAGCTTAAGGCCCTTACGGTGAACATAGTCCGCAAGCGCTTTAATACCAGAAGGGAAAGTTGACTTCTTTGGCACAAGAGTTCCCTGGATAAACAGAATTAAAGAAGATAAAATGTAGCAAACTGCAGAACAAGAGAAATGAAACCAGGAAATAAAACAAAGAAGTGATAATATCATACCTTGTTGTCACGAGCAATTTCAGCCCAGCAATCATCTGAGGAACAATAACTCATCAAATTCATTTTTTTTTTAACTCTTAAGCAATCATCCTGATGAAACATTAATCAACTATAGAGTAATACGATGAATCTTCGATCTATATAGAGCCATACCGATGTTAACATAGTTGTAACCAAGCTTAGAAAGGCCAGTGGTAACCAAAGCAACAGCTGTTACAAGCATCAAAATTGAAGTTTTGTTAAGAAGAGATATGCAAGGTCAATCCAAGAGTGAAAAAATGTCGGAAAATTCACCAGTTTCTTTGATGACTCTCTCATCTATGCTGCAGCTGAAATGGTTCCAGCTATTCCACCTGCAAACAAAACATTACATTGAAAGCTTCATTCAGACATAACCAAGAACATAAAAAAGACACATACCACACCATATAAAGACCAAACGATTCTTAATATTTTAGCATAATCACAAAATTTTCAGAACGTGGAAATCAATTTCAAGCTATATCTTTCTCTAATCTATTGCGAATTTAGTCAGAAACTAGTCACATCTAATCCTCAAACATTAAACCAAACCAGAAACTCATCTCTATCGATTTCACAAACTCCAATTTTAGGAATCAAATCGAAATTTTTTTTCCGACCATTCAATAAGGAACCAAGCTCAAACCAAGAAAAAACATAGAGCAAGAGAGAGACAGATAGTTGTACTTACCCCATAGGAGGAGTGACGCCGAGACCATTAGCGAGCAAATGTCTTCGTAAGATCTCGGAATCGTCGCCGACCCTTTTGACTGATCTCGAAGACTCGACCACCATTGATGA